CTATGTGGGGTATTGCCCTGAAAAACCATGATAGGTCACCATGTTCTCTCTCTTCCACGTCAAAGCTGCAGATTCTGTATTTGATTCCTATTATTGATTTAGCTTTTTTGGACTCTTAAAGTTTCCTTACTCCAGGGCAATACCAACCCTAATGGACTTTTTCTGCTCAGAGAAGAGGCTAGAAACTGCAAGGTGCAGTTACTATCTACACTTTTATTAGATCAGAGATGTAGATAGTCACCAACATGTCTGTAAAGTGCTGGAGAATCAAATTACAGCAGGTATTCAGGCCAGGAGACGCTCACCTAGCCTGGATATTCTGAAGAAAAATCTCAAGACTGAAACATAATTGAACAGTCATTTTCTGAACAGCAAAATGATTGAGGTGGTATCCTTTCCTGCCCTTTCTTGGAACACACTCAATCACATTAGGGGGGTTTTTTAATGCTTGAATGGAATGGTTTTGAGTTATAAAATGTGATTATTCACGCTGGAATAATAATGTGAGGAATCTAAAACTATTTAGTCCTTAAAGCTGATCAGCTTATCAGTATCCAACACAAAGGACTCAGAAATCAGATATCTGAACAAGCTGAATGTGTTAAAGCAATGACCAGGGATGCTACAGGAACAGATAGGTCTTGACTAATCTTCTCAAACATGAGATTTGGTCCTGGTTTTAGTTAAGTATGTCAGGCAGGAAAACCAGTGTTTCTTAATCCTTTGTTTCCCTATTTTCATCTGCTTCTCATTTCCTAGGAGAGCTGCACCTTCTTCTCCAGCGTCTACTTCTACTGCATTCTCTCTCCATCTAATCTTTTACCCCAACTTTCCCCTCCTTTTCCACTGGCTGCTGCTTCTCTTTAGTAGTGGTTTTGGGGCTCATGCACTCTCCTGATGGTCCCTTGTGCCACATCTGTTGGTATTTATGTACAGCTGCAAGCTCAAATCATCACAATATTACCTAATTTCTCACAGTATTTATGAATTTTTCAGGTCTGGCAGAGTCACAGGTCGGTAAATGTCCTGAACTAGTTCTCAGGAAGTTCCAAAGGAAACAATACATATGATCTGCACAGAAACAGTTTAAAAAAGAAAATAGCAGCCTTGTTTTCTCTATTACCTCACATTGCATCAATCAGACAGCAAGCAATTCTTAGAAATATAAAAATATGTATAGTACATCTTAAACTGAGTGAGATGTAGGGGATAAAGAGAGGGGAAAAAATATGGGTTATTTCCTCACAAAATATCTTCAGCATTCTTTTCCTGGAGAGGGAAGTAATTTTCTTAAGTGTGTATTATTCTGACTACTAATCAGAAAATGGTTGAACTCTGGACAACAGCCTAATATTTGTTCTGCTTCACGTTTTCTGTCTAATATAACAGGGAACATGACCAGTGTCATTTCAAGCTGTGTTTTCACAAATCATGCAGACCTGTATATCCTCTGTTAAGACTGAGAATTTAACCCAGCACTTTCAAACATGCATGGGCCAAGCACAAATGCCACCATGTATGGGACAAATAACTGTCTTTTCAGTGCGTGAAAAGGCTAAGCAGTTATTTGAAACTCGGGTAAATTTTAAGGGCACTTCAGATATCCAATGTGTATCAAGTTTTCACACCACTTTAAAAAATCATACCAATTATCATATCAATATGCAAATTTTGTAAGTCTTTGATTAAGAAAATGGAAGGCTAGGATTTTTTGAGATACTGTCTTCTATCGAAAGAATGTAGTAAATGAGACCAATTAGATGAGATTTCATCTAATATCTCTTTTGGACATTCATATTTTGGAGTATCTCACTATTTCTGGGCGGGGGAAGAGATAAAGATCACAAAAGATGTGTCCAAATGCTCACAGTGAGGTAGTCCTATAATTTTTTTACTGGTTCATTAAAACATTGTTCTCTGAAAGTGCAAGCGTTGATTAGATCAGGCAAGAGTTCTAGTGGTGGGCAGTCTAGCTGAAGAGTCTTTATGGTTTAACAGCTGGACCTGTTTTCTGATCCGAGTTAAAATTAACAAATTCCGAGGAGGATCAAACCCCAATGCATTAACCAAGAGTTTGATGGGAGGTGGCAGGCTTTACATTTACAAGTATGCACTACACTACCTGCTGCACTACCAGATAAACTGGCTGTGCTGCATTGTAGGAGTCAACCAGCCAGCAGCCCACAGATTTGATAGCAGAAACCTGCCTTTCACATCTAGGCTGTAAGTTTGATTTTGACCTATGTTGGTAATGAAAGCTGGTCTCTGTGAAAGATGTTGATGCTGTCAGTTATCAGTAGATAGGATTTCATACTGCCAAGAAAGTTCCGGTTATCAATGATTTATGTTTCATCATGATGGATTAGGCAGGGAGCCAAATGGCCACCATGTGAAGCAATAGGGAATTCCATTTATTACTAGGTGTGGATTCCCTTAATCAAAAGCAAAGGATAGCATAAATAGTAGATTTTCTGTCTCCTTCCACCACAACAATATTTTAAAATAGTTCTTTAGGTGTTTCTTTTTTTATCTCATGGATTGCAGGTGGTAATTCTGCTGTGTTTCTAGTTCTCAGAATTATGGTTTAAAATTGCAGCTCTTCAGTGGTACATCGAATGTAATAAGAAAGTCTAGTATTTTATGTGAATGAAAATATTCTGAAAAAAAATCAGAAGCTCAGAAGGAAGGCACCCAAGAGTACTAAAAGCATTGGGAAAGGTATTACAAGTTAAAAGATTGCTAGTCTACTAATTCCACTGCTAGGGCTATGCCCTGGACATAAATTGCTTGGGGAATAAAACAAAGGCTATGACTACATTCTGTGCCTTGAGACTAAATTATCCCTTGGTATAAATTTCGTGGAAATGAATGGACCCGCTCTGTCAGTTAACCTATATTACTCTGCTGGCCTTTCCACAACAGGCTGTGTGCCTGGAGAGCCATCTCCTATTACCTCTGTTGTCTTTTCCTTCAGAGATCAGAGAGATTTGTCCCAGTGTTTAGTCCTCAGCATGGGTGTTATTTTCCAGGGCCTGCGTGCATTTTTCACTGCCATCACACATTCCCATCACATAACAGGAATTGCTGATAATTATCCCTTTCATTAATGTGGCTATTAGAGAGAAATTTCTAAACTTGGCAAACTGCTTAGTCTATGTACTTGTGCAGCCTTTTTGTTGACTGCACTGCAGGCCACCAGTCACAGGAAAACCCCTCCTCTCTTAGGAAAGTGTAGCCTGTTAGAAGATCCATCAAAATCCATTGAAATGTTAACTAATATTAACCAGATTATTTTGCTTATTTCTGTGTTCGGGTGGTGGTTAATACTGCATAGCTCTCTACAGGAGAGACCCTCAGTTAAATTCATGCCCAAAGTTACTTTCCCCAATAACGTCAGAGTCTGGTAATTCCGACTCCATCGTATTTTTCCTGTGTCTGCACAGTAAATTGAAGTTGTGTTTATTTACCAGTTGCAGTACTGCCGGTATTGAACTGAACTTGAAAGACTTTTCCACGCCGATGGCCCCAGCATGAAAGGTGAAATATAAATCTCAAATCTATCACCAGGATTATTATGTTAAGAGGCTGTGTGTTTACACATTCACAGCTGAAGCGAAACAAAGATAAGGATGTTTGCACTTGCGTATTTCAACTTAGTATATTGTAATTGGCCACAATAAAATGCATCAGGTTGTGTTACAACAGCCTTTGTGCTCTCTGAAGTCCCGCTGCTGTTCTGGTATACAGTGGCTTTTCTTTGCAATGCATTAAAATACTGCTACCATTTCGGTGTCTGTAACAACGACCTTTTCAGCAGGACGGCAGCTGAAACCCCCTGGTTTAGCGAACGCCTTGCGTGTGTGTAAGCAGCATTTCAGTGGGTGTGGCACACAAGGACACGACACGGGTCCAGGTTTTACTTTACCTGGGAGCCCAGTGGCACTTTGGGGAAAGATGGTCCCAGGCACGGGGTACAAGGCGGGAGCATCTTTGGGGGCAGCAGTAAGGGCCGAGTCCAGCTCGCTCTCGCTCCTGAGCTGGAGGGAGCGGCACTTCCCGAAGCGCCGCTTCGGTCCCTCTGTCACTCGCACCAGGGGGCGGGAGGCCACGGCAGGTCCCGCTGTGTGAGCCCACCCGTTATCCCTGGCAAGCCGGGCTGTCGGGAGAATTGCTGCACGTCCCGTCATCAGGGAAGACGAGATGCACACTCGGCCACAGGGATCTGCTCCCAGACCTCCAGACTGGACAAAGCCAGCCGGAGAACGGGAGAGAGTTATTAGGAGGGGTCCTGATTCCTGCTGAGCCAGACCCGACCTTTCCCTCGCTTGGAGCGCCCTTTGTGAACAGAGCGCCAGCTCGGGCAGCCCACGGCCCGCTGCTGTCAATGGGAAAAATATGGATGTTTTATCGATCCTGGCAATCGATTATTTCAGTTCTAACCCGAGTTACAGCCAGCAGGTTAACGCCTGCTTTTTGGGAGTGCGGCTCGCGTTTGCCAGGATTCTCCCTAGAGCCGCCGCGCCGCTGTTCGCCGAGGGATGCCCGGCATCCCACTCCTTCCTCGGTTTAATCCCGTGGGCACCGCTCTCCCGCATTTGTCCGGGGTTTCCCCGCTGCCGCTGAGGCCGCGGCTGGGGAGGACGCGCAGTCCCCCCTGCAATGGTCCCAACCCTTTTCCCCGGCGCTCCCGATTCCCGCTCCCGGGCACCGGACCGCACCGGCGGGGGCCGCCAGGGGGCGCTGCGGGGCCGGGGGGCGGGGCCTCGGCGGGGGCGGGGCGCGCGCCCACGTCCGAGCTCCCGGGGCGGCCGCGCTGTGACGTCACGGTGCTTTCCCGGTGACGTCAGGCGGGCCGGCGCGCGGCGGTGCCGCGTGTGACGTCACGGTGCCGGGCCGTGACGCGGCGGCGCTGGGAGCGGGCCGGGGCCGCGCGCGCCGCCCGCCCCTCGCGCTACGGGTCGCGGCTGGGGCCGCCCCGGCGGGGACGCGGCCGCCCCCGGCCCCGCCCTCGGCCCGGCGCTCCGGCCCAAGATGGCGGCGCTGAGCAGCGGCGGCAGCGCCGAGGGGGCCTCGCTCTTCAACGGGGACATGGAGCCCGAGCCGCCCGCGCTGGGCTCCGGATACGCGGGGGGCGGCGGCGGCGACCCGGCCATCCCGGAGGAGGTGAGGCCGTTGCACGGCGGCGGCTGCAGCCCCCGCCCGCGGGGCACGGGGCCCGGGCCCAGCCGTGCCGTGCCGTGCCGTGCCGTGCCGTGCCGTGCCGGGGGCGGCCCGAGCCGGCGGGGGCAGGAGCAGGAGCGGGGCCGCGCTGGGCAGGGCGCGGGGAGCCCCGGCCCGGTGCCCCCGCGGGGGTTGCGGCCGGCGGGGCTTTGGTGCGGGGGCTTGGCCATCGGTTCACCCCGGTGGGTTGGAAACACGGGGAATGCATTTCGAGCCCCCCAAGGTTGGGTTCGGTTCCCTCTGTGGACGCGCCCCGGCTTTGCACAAGGGGTCTGAAGAAATGTTGGCGGCTGTGGGGGCACGGAGGATGTCGGGCCTCTGGTTTGTGCCTTTCTTACATACTTCCTGTGTTTTTGGGGCTTATTACTTAACTTCCCAATCCCACGGAGGGCGAGCGGCACTACCTGTTTTGCCGGGGCTGCAGCGTGAGTTGCGAACGCTCCTGAGATGTTTTTTCGGCAGGGGGAAGGAACACGCTGCGCCCTCACAACGCGAGGCGCTTTGCAAACCCAGGCACTGTAGGCATCCGAGCCAGCCGTGCACCGGCTCTGCTCTGCTCTGGGGGGAAATACAGGCGCCAGGAGCTCTGCCGGCTTGTCCTGAACTCGCTGGGGATTATTTCAGCTCAGCTTTCGCCGGTGTGTCTGTGCAAGCCGCACAGGACCTCTCACCTGTGAGCAGTCCTGTGGCCCTGTGAGGGACCAAGCCCACCTGGTGACCTCTTCTTTCTGCCTCTAGCAGGGAAAATGAGCTGGCTTTGATCAGCAGCTCTCAGAGGCGTGCAGTTTGATTCCCAGCTCACCAAAGACAAGTTTTTTTAATCCGTTTTATTTATTAATAGCATAGTGGATTATAGTGGAGTTAATGAGTGGAGAAGTTTGACAACTACTAGAGCTCGTGCTGGGGCGATGGTCAGAAGGGAGAAATGGGGAAGGATTCTGCCCCTGTGGATGTTCAGGAGAAGTGAGATTGATTCCCTCATTCTAAGGAGGTACTTGCTGAGGGCAGGCAAAACTGAGCAGGGCACCCTCTATTTTACACCCACCCAGCAGGGTGATTAAATGCCTTGAGTAATGCGAGTCCAGTCCCAACTTCCCTGAGTAAGGAGAAACTCTCAACTGGTTGAGAAACTGAAATACCTGAAGAGTGGGGTTTAACAAACACCTTCAGCAGCAAAGTGAGGTTAAGAAGCTTCTCGTTGACTTCTCTTGCCCGGTTTGTGCTGGTGCAGCTGTGCACGAAATTTAATTTCTCAGTTATTTTCTGCCATAAAAACCAAATCTCTATGGAGTTACTCCAATAACTAGTTTATATTGTGGCCCTTGGAACAATAGCATCAATACAGCTGAGCTGGTTAGATAAACTGCAAAATAAGAGAGAAGAGAGGGAAAAGCAGTGGCAGGAGGCAGGAATTTTTTTAAAAATCAATTTTCATACCAAGGGGGGAGGTGTTTGTTAAACTGCTGTAAGTCACTTAAACTTGAAAAATGTTTTAGCCTGTGTCAGTAATTAGGTTTGATTCCAAATGGTAAATTACACAGTGTGGCTGCTTTTGCCCCCATCCTGAATACCTTTCCTATGTGAGGGAGAGGGAACACCTGCCAACCAGAAAGGTTGGGACTTTGCCAGTATGGGTGCAAGTATTTAGGAAGTGTGTGGGGATATTCTCGTGTTATTTAAAAGCAAACTTCTTATACATTGGAAATACTGAACCACACAGGTCTTAAGGCAGAGCTTGTTCTAGAGTTTTTATTTTCTGATGTGATTTTGTTCTTTAGCTAGCTAGTTCTTCCTTGAGTTGTAAGTAATTAAGTTTTGTTTACTGTATAAGTACACCTATTACTTCATCTAGACCTGTACCTTTAATAAAGGTCAAGCCCAAAAAATTGCTGACACAGTGAAAATGGAAATTATCCTTAATACTAAACCAAGTCAACATACAGAATAATGCAAATTCAAAGTGGCATAAGTCAGAAAAATAGTGTAGTGCTTCTAACTGACTCATGGCTCTAATGCAAATCCATGTTCTAATGTTTTGTCTCAGTCCTTCCAGACAAGGTAAATCTAAGCTTTAGAAGTAACCTTGCTGTGGAAATCTGTCAAGGAGCATAACCTTATTGATTTTGAGGAGATACCTGGAAAAGTTTCAGTTCCTGTAAGTCCTTAGGGAAATGCAGTCCTGATTCCCAGAAGGTAAGCCTTCAGTTCCACACTCAGTTTCTAGTTTTAAAAGGGGTGGACAGCAATAATTTCTGCACAGATGTTGAAGTCATCTTACACTCACTTGTAAGTTGGAGCCCTCTGGTTAAGGGGGTGTTCCATATTGAGGTTGTAATGGAGTGCTCTGTGTTGGTTACAGCTACATCAGCATCCCTTATGAATTCTCTGGGGCTTTGAAAAACAAATTTAAGCCATATTGTTCAACTCATGACCAGTTTTTAATCAAATAGTGAATTTGGGACTTTAGAAATTGCTTCGGAAGCCTAATTGCCGATACTGAAAATCCTCTAATAATCAGTATAATAATTCTTATAATAAAGTAATTGCTAAAGCTTTTCCCCCCCCATGTTACAATTCAAGGTTGGCAAGAGTAGTTGCTTGTGCACTCATATGGACAACTAGGAAATGGGTACTTCCTGGAGACAGAAGGATCTGAAAGGAGTAGGGGCAAGTGGATTTACAGAAATTTCCCTCTTCCATCCACTGTTTTTGGTTGCTGGTGCTCGGAGGCCTGGATGTGAGCTGGCGTCCAGAGGCACACTGGTTGGCTTCTTCCCCGGGATGAATTCATGGGACAAGGGATTGTTTGGATGGAAGGTTTTCAGAGTATTACAGGGTTGTTGATATAGTAAGGAGTGTGTGACAGCTGGGAGGAAAGGTTCTGCTCTTGTTGCTCGAGATTATTTACACCAATATTAAATAATTCAAATGGGATTTTCTGTGCTCGGAGCTTTGTGCCCTGAACTGCTCTTTGTAAGACCAAAATTACTTTGAAGGCTGTGAAGTGAGGGCCTGAGCTGCTGGATGGTCGGTCATTTTCTAGGCAGCAATGCTGGAATTTATCCTGCATGAATATTAGTTATAAATTTAGAAACCTTAATCCTATGAAACAGATTTAAGAAGAAGAGTAGAATGGAGAGTGGGTGAAAAGATATGTAAAACGAAGATAGAATGAAAAGGTACCTCTAACCTTACAATATGAAGTAAGTTGTGGGTTCTCATAAAATAATATAGATACACCAAGTAAAACTGGGGCTAGTTTTGTTACAGTAATGTTTAGGGAACCTATTGTGTTGGGTATTAGAACAACTTTCCTTTAAATTTTTTAGTTCTCAGAGAGTTTGGAAAGTTAAAACCATATGAGTGGTTTTTTACATCACTGTGTTATGTTCGATCTCAATTACGTTTCCTTACATTTGTGTTCAGTGACTGAGATAACTCCACAGACTTTGAATGACATCCTGTTTAACTGTGAGGACAAGTTAAACTTGAGTGGGATGTAAAGCATCTTGCAGCTAATATTCTGCAGTAGTGTATCTCAAAGGATAAGTGAAAGAATTCTTTTGTTTTGCATAGCATGGGAAAGGCTGTAGCTAAATACTCTGTCTGACTTTGGGTCCCAGCCTCAAGAAATGCTTGGTCTAGCTGAGGAGAGTCTAGGGAAGAATAATAAGTGATCTAAAGTCTAGAAGGTCAGATCTTTGAAGAAAGACTGAAAAAACCCCTGAGATTAAAAAAGAAATGGAAATTGTCAAATCTATTGCAAAGAAGAATCCAAATAAGTCATTCACCAGCTTGTGGCCATTACTACCAGAAGTAGTGAGTTTGAATGGTAGCAGAGGAGATGGTTTCATGTTACTCTGAGATAATTTTCCTTATGGCTAGGTACAGGGAAGCATTAAAATAGACTTTCTTAACTTATTTATAAAATGCCCATTAATAGATTATCACCTCCACAGACAAACATATGTCAGGAATGATGGGGGAAAGTTGATCCAGGTGTAGAAAAGACGATGGCTTGATAACCTCTCATCTTTTTTTCCTTAGGCCTTTTTATGATTTTTTTGTGGCAAGGTAGATAGAATGTTAGCACACAACTTTGAAATACCTGAGTTTATTTGGGATATTAAAGAGATTTCTGCTTATGATGTTTTTCCCAAAAGGCAATAGGATTAACAGCTCTGTCCTGTGGAAGCTTGTTTGATTACACAGAAGTTGCTTAATAGAGTAGTGGCTTCTGAAAAGTTTTGATGTCTTGGGAGGCTTGTTTCTTGTCTCTGTGGATATCCACAAAGTGTTTGGGTACAGAATGTTTAGTACTGATATTTTTTTGTTGTTGTTAATTTATGTTGTTGCTTAAGCCACTAATGCTATTCCCGTTTGTGTTTTGTTGTGTATTTTGTTTTAAACTCAATGACTTTTTATTTTTCAAGCTGTTCTAATAATATCCTTCTTGACGCTTGTTTAGCCAGGAATGGCAGTTCTGTTGTTCCATGAAGTTAAAAATACTGTAGAACAAATAAGATTTGGGTTTTGGTTGATTTTTTTTTTCTTTTTTAAATAATGAAGGTACCTTTTGATGGCAGGTATTTTTTAGAACAAACTGATAAACCCCATAGGTTTCCTTAAGGCTGCAATATTCCACTTTGTTAACTCGTCACAAATCTGTAGTTCAGGTTAATTAATTGTTACATCTATAGAAAAATTTGACTGCATGAAATATTTTGGAGGGAATTTGATTTAGAAGGAAGTCTAATTTTATTTGTACTTAGAAGAGAAACAAAACAAGGCTTGAATTGATCATGAAATTTCTAACTGTTTTCCAGTCCAGCCTCTCATAAAAACTGTTTCAGGTGTAGCAGGTTTTTTTCTTTTTCTTTCTGAGATGCACTCTGACCAAGTGCAAGTTTTATTTTCAGTTTGAACCACTCGCCTCTGGAGGG